ACATTACGCGGCGAGCGTGGTGCCGAATATACGCGGCTTACTTGGCGCGGAATATGATTCCGCGCCATGTAAGCCGCGTATTTCAGTACGGTACTGAATAAGCCACGTATATTTTAGCGCGTGAACGCTCAAGTACGGAACTGAAATCCTCGTGTGAACGCAGCTTATATATATGTACTGTACAGTGTACACTCAGATAGATTAAATTATGAAAGTATAATATATTACTAATGTCATAAAATTTAAACCTTGTAAACATGAATAAGGACATTATAATTAGCATAAATACATCAATTCAACTACACCGTGGTTTTATTGTTCCAGGTTTATTGTAGACTAGCTTTAATATAGTCTTCATTGTATTTTAAAAACATAACTAGGTGGGATATTGCTTGGTGCTTATATGAGAAAAGCATCTAGTGGACAAGGTCAATTGTGTTCAATTTGAAGGACTTTCTAAGACCAAGCCCAATAATACTCAATTTCCTGGGACTTTACAGGACCAGATTTTTCCAGGAGTTACCAAACATGGAAAATAAGACTAAAAAAATTTCAAGATTGTTTAGGGTTTTGATGATCCACACAAACCTTGTCATTGTGTACCAGACATGTGCTTTACCTGATTTACCTGATTCCACCCCTCACCTGTAGGTTTGGAGTGGATCGAAGGGTAGGAATTAAGACTACTGTATTGTATAAACCCCCATCCTTACATATTCATCCACATGGCGTTTGAACGAGTTAATTGATTTAGCTTGTGCTGCTTCTTCTGACAGGTTATTCTAATGATTTATTACTCTAAAACTGAAAAAATGTTTCCTTAACTCTAGTCGTGCACGCGAAGTGAACAATTTGAGGCTATGGCCACAAGTACTGTTGTATTCCACTCTTGTAAAGAATTTTGTAGGGTCAATTACTTCGTAGCCATTCATTAGTTTGAAAGCTTCAATGAGGTCTCCTCTTAGTCTTCTCTGTTCCAGTGTTATAAGTCCTAGTTTCTCTAGTCTGTTCATAGGAAAAATGACTAATTTCTGGAATCGTACGCGACATCCTTCTTTGCACCTTTTCCAGTAACACAATATCTTTCTGCAAATAGGGATTCCGATCTTACAGCTTCAAGTGGTACATGCAATTTCCATAAAATGCATTGATTGTGGTATTTTTTGAGAGTTCCTACTTGGGCACTGCATGGTAGACCTTTGGTTGAGAGGCTAGACGTGGCAGCATATATATGCCACTTAAATCTGGGACATCTGATACAGTGACAATATATGTAGCTCCCAGTGGTAAGAAGTCTTATGTACAACACACACATTGACAATTGCACTAGTAAAGATTCTTGTCTCTAAGCAGTGCTCGAAATAAGCGTTGTCCGGTTGTCCGAGACAACCAGAATTTGCGCCGGACAACCTAACCAGTCTGAGACATTGTCCGGTGGACAACCAAAAAACCCTATCTCTAACCCTTACACTAACTCTAAACCGACTCGGCTATCTTATATACGCGTGGTACCCAATTAATCTATGGTGTATAACCTTTTGCTTTCAATATTTTGCATCTGAACTGACAATCAATCCCATGCAACCAACTGGTATAGGCTAGCTAGCACAATAATGTTCAGTTTCATACTTCAAATCCGAGTGTTTTCTAGCTCATCAAGAAATCTTAATCGTGAATAATATAAAAATATGGGACCAGCTGCTATTTCCAACACTGGTATAATATCATATGTCAGGTTTTCTGATTTATGAAAGGTGAACTCGATTTGGAACCAGCAAACCAGCAAGTTTCCAAAATTTTCTGGGGGAGGACCCCCATACCCCCCGCCTGTTTTCACCCCGCCTCCTTGGAATCCTAGACCCGCCACTGAACAATTACATATTTTGGGAGCAGAGAAAAATGAACAAAAATGTCGCCTTTTCGCATGGCGCCCAAAACAAAGATTGCAGAGCTGAGAGGTAGGGGAGCCGTAGGGTGTGGAGAGGGAGGCGGAGGAGCCAGTGAAATATTAAGTCATCCACTATTTTGCGCAGTTCGCTGTTTTTGGCCCTCGTTGTTAAAAAATCCTGGCTACGCCACTGTTTTTGGGTGTTTTCTGATTATATTATTATGTGATTGAAAATAGGAGATTTGGGGATTTTTTTTGGGACAACCAGAAATTGTTGCGGACAACCCGATTTGATGCCGGGGTTGTCCGCAGGACAACCACATTTTTTTTCTTATTTCGAGCACTGCTAAGTATCTTGGCCATATTCACCAAAACATGCACGATTCGAGCTTTGATTACTCGTTTTGATTCCCGCTGCCATTTCTTGTGAATCTCGGACTATCTCGCGATAGCGCGAGATATCGGTCAATTTAAAAATAGAAACGGAGTAAACTACCCAGAATAAGATTATTTAAGTTTTCTGCCATGCCACTGCCCATGATTATAGGGAATGCGATGCACGATGTAAGCCTTTTTAAAACTTAAGAAACGATGGCTGAAACGTTATTCATGCATGGGTGTAACAGTACAGCATGAAAATGCTCGCATTAGGCCTATTGCTCCTACTGTGATATATACTGTATTCAAATTTAAAGCACTGCAACTTCTGAATGAAATGCAGCATCTAGGTGGAATATAGAGGTGGCCTAGTTTATTAGGTAGCTTTTGCGCATGACGTAACACACCAGCCGGACTGCCTAGTAGTAAGTACTGCCTAGTACAGCCGGATGAACTAGTCCCCCAGGGTACTGCCGGAGCGTAACCTGGGTACGTTCGGACGGTCCGGTATACCGGAACGTACCCTGGTAACTATCTGATATGGTTAGGGTTAGGGTTAGGGTTAGGGTTAGGGAGTAGGCGTAGGCGACTCGTTGGTGGAGTAGGCGAGGTACGGTCCGGCATATTAGATAGTACCAGGGTACGTTCCGGCAGTACCCTGGGGGGCATAGACCCTCTCAACAGTATTAGACACAATCACTAATTCAAACGATCAAATTTAACGATGGCTGAATGAGCCAAATCAAATGAACTATCCGAGTATCGACCCCATCGTTATAATCATAATGCTCTGACATGTGGACAGTGGAGAACAAAGAAGCCTATACTAAGCCTATAATTGATAAAGATATGAATAAATTAAGATAAAAAATATTAAATATATTATAACTATATAAAATAAATGATGATGATACACTAGGCCTTCACAGTAATCAGTATGTGACCTAGGCACTTTCCCTATGCTCAGTGAAGGTGAATGCAAAAAAGCATGACCACTGAGACTGACCAGCAATCATGCATGGACGAAAAGTTAAAATTCAAACTGCAATCTTACAATTCCTGCTTTGGATAGCGCTGGCTGTCAGTGGCAGAACTGTCTTCTGTGCGAGTGGACCACTGGCCATAAGCAGTTTCGCGTACTTGATAGTGGAGAAAGCCATTTTCACTAGAAACGTTCTCGTTAAAACCACGCTGCAGCAACTACCAGAATGTGGCGAAGGTGAAACCTGACGTCACTACGTCTAACGAATGAGTGTGTGCGATGCATGCTAAAAGAGCACGTGTGCTACAGAGCCGACAGCTTTTATTCGCTAGTCAGGTCATAGTCAGGTCGAGCTGTGAGGTGCCCTTCGTTCACCGGCTGCCGGTTGTATTTCCTTCTTCCTCTTATCTCAGGTGATATTTCAGATCTACGAAGCAGTTATATTAAAATCGTAAGTATTGGATAATTGGTAGTATTTGTACGTTAACTCGCTATTAGTAAGGTGCACTGACAAGTAGTTTATAAGTCTTTGTCTGGCCATAAAATCCCATATCGCGGAGTAATTTCCAAGATGTCAGCGTCCAAGTTCCATTCTAAAGTCAAACGATTACGTTTACACAGTAGTGAGTAGGCCTAGGAAGTATTTTACAGTTCATGCCATTAACCGCTAAACAATGTAGTTATTTTACGGCTTCTACCGTATTATACAATTTAGCGTCTGTTAAAGAATAACAAGGTTACGCCAAGCTTAAAACGTTTTTAAGTCGTCTCAGTATTCGCAGTAAGGTTATAGTTTATACTTTTTTCTGTTTCGTTACCGTTAGTATTTTACGATTTTAATACTAACTAGCGGATACCCGGCGTTGCCCGGGGAAATCAGTGGCGTTACATAGTTGGTGACCGCTTGGTTGAAAGGAAAATACCCAAAAAATCTAACTATCTATCCATGCATGATGCATCCATCCATCCATCCCATTACATGCCATCCCATCCCATTATCCCATATCACATCACATCCCATCCCATCCCATCCCATCCCATCCCATCTCATCCCATCCCATGCCATCCCATGACATCCCATGCCATGCCATGCCATGCCATCCCATCCCATCCCATCCCATGCCATCCCATTGGATAGGGTGACTGTTTGAACTTGTGTATGGGACTGCCGTACCCGTAGCATCGAAACCAACGAGTATTGGTTTGAACTTCTTGTTGAGTCAAGTTTGAACTTCTTGTGTATACACTAGCATGGCGGCTATGATATTTAGCGTGGCGGGTGCATTTTAGGATGGAGGGGCTTGACGATAGCCTGGCAGGCCGCCAGGCTATAAGTGCCCTTGGAGAACCCTGTGAAGGGGTAAAATAACTTGGCCAAAGGGCACGTAAGTTTTATAATATACTAAGCTTAGTTAGGGTCAATGTACATATAACATTTATCTACAGATAACCTTTTATTCATAGACGTACTCATGGTCGTTCATGTGTCAGTACATTCATTCGCCCCAAATGTAAAGATCAATGATGGATAACCAATCTTTTACAGCAGAACAGATCTATGAACATGTTCAAAGAGCAAGTTGCTATTTACAGATCAGCATGCTTGCCTGCTGTTCCTTCTAAGACAAGGCTAAAAATACTACACATCATGCCAACCAATAGCTCGGAGTATGGAAATGCGACCAACTCCTTAGAACATTGCATAGACATCCATATAGCATATATGATTATGATACAATAGCATGCCATTACAACTACAGTGGTACACTTAAAACTTACAACCTCAAACTGTAATGTAAAATGTTCTCTTGGATTCCACCCACACAAATATACATGCATAGTAATTATGCTTCTGCTTACATTCTGTCCAGTTTTTTGCTGGATGACAAGCAATTTTTTTTATCTTTATTGACAGACCCATTGGAAGAAAGTTTACGACAGCTGCTAGGCCATTACACCCTCCAGGACAAAACTGTACTTTATAAAATAACCAATTTGTTGGCAGAATGTCTCAGCTGTTTTATCTCTTATCAAATGCATATATATAGAGTACAAGTATGAATAAGGTAAATTAAGTGCAGAGTGCAAATATTTATAAGACACTAGCTGCGTTCACACGTATACACGGCCTCGCTGGTTCCGTACTTAGTTGGTGCTGAGCTCGGCTGAAATACCGCACTAACACAACCCGGAGCGTTCACACGAGATACACGAGATTCGAGGCTTAGGCCAAGAAAAAAAATAGGTGTGTTTCCAAAAAAATATAATTTATAAATTTTTTTTCTTTAATTTGAAATCTGACAGACAAAATTTGAGATTTTTTACTACAAACACGTTCTGTACTTGCTTACTAACTTATCCCTACCTATACACCACTTTATAGCATGCATCAGAGGGATATTAGGAACCAAAGAATTAAAAAAAAATAAAATAAAAATCCCTACCTACCCTACTTTTGTTTCGTATGCAATAAGAAACACCTATTATTTTTTGGCCTTAAGCTAGCTTAGGTAAATAAAGACTGGTACCCACCGCCGCGTCGAACATTCCACACGCTACAAACTAAACGTCGTGTAGCAAAGGTAACCAAGCTTAGACACGACTAAACAGTTTCGCAATCGAATCGCGTCACACAACGACAGACAACTACTTAGCGAGCGTCGGTGCGAATATAAAACGCGGCTTAACTTGGCGCGGAACTGTGAAATTCCCGCCAAAGTAAGCCGCTATTTCAGTACGGATACTGAATAACCGCGGTAATATTAGCTGTGCAACGCTCAAGTTACGGAACTGAAATCCATCAGTGTGCAACGCAGTCTATAATATGTACTGTAACAGTGTACACTTCAGAGTAGATTAAATTATGAAAGTATAATATATACTAAGTATAAAATATAAACCGTAAACATGAAATAAGGCATTAAATTAGCATAAATAACAATCAAATCAACTACACTGTTTATGTTCCAGGTTTATGTAACTAGCTTAAATAAGCTTCAATTGTAATTTTAAAAACATAACAGGTGGATATTGCTTGTGCTTATATGAAAAGCATCTAGTGGACAAGGTCAATTGTGTTCATTTGAAAAGGACCTTCAAGACCAAGCCCAAAACACTCCATCCCCGGACTTTACAGACCAGATTTTCCAGAATGTACGCTAAACAATGAAAATAAAGACTAAAACAAAATTCATCTACAGATGTTAGGGTTTTGATGACCACACAAAAAACCTTCATTGTCTATCCAACAGTGCTTTAACCTGATTTAACCTGAGTACCACCCCCACCTGTAAGGTTGGAAGGGATCGAAGGGTAGAATTAAGAACTACGTATTGATATAAGAACCCCCATCCCTCACATATCATCCACATGGCGTTTGAACGAGTTAATGATTTAAAGCTTGCGCTTCTTCTTCTGACAGGTTATTTCTAATGATTTATTACTCTAAAACCTGAAAAAAATTTCTTAACATCTGTCGTGCACGCGAAGTGAACAATTTGAGGACAGGCCACCAAGTACTGTTGTATTCCACTCCTTAAAGAATGTAGGTCATTACTCGTAGCCATATCATTATTTGACAAAGTTCAAATGATGTCCTCCTCTTAGCTTCTCTGTTCCAGTGTAATATAGTCTAGTTCTCTAGCCATTGTTCCATACAGAAAATGACTAATTTCTAGAATACGCTAGCGGACATCCTCTTTGCCAACCATTCCAGTAACCCACAAATACTTCTGCAAAATATCGGATCGATCTTACAGCTTCAAGCTGTAACGTACAGCAATTTCCATAAAACAAGCATTGATCGTGTATTGACGAGTCCACTTGGCCACTCGCAGTAGACCTTTGGTTGAGAGGCTAGACTGGCAGCAATATATATCCACTTAAATCTGGACATCCTGATACACGTGACAATAATAATTATGCCCCAGTGATAAGAAATCTTATGTACAACACAGAGCACATTGACAATTGCACTAATAAAAACGATTCGTCTCTCAAGCAAGTGCTGAAATAAGCGTTGTCCGTTTTTCCGAGACAACCAGAATTTGCCCCGGACCAACCATAACCCAGTCCTGAGACATTGTCCCGTGGACAACCAAAAAACCCTATCCTCTAAACCTTACACTAAACTATAAAAACCACTCGGCTACTATATACGCTGACCCAATAATCTAGGTGTAATAACTATTGCCATTCAAAATTTGCACTGAACTGAACAATCAATCTGCAAACCAACGGTAATCTAAGCGTAGCAACAATAAGTCAGATTTCATTACCTTCAAACATCCGAGTTTCTAGCCATCAAAAAAACTCTAATCGTGAAAAAAAAAAGGGAAACCACTGCTATTTCCCAACACTCGGTAGAAACATAATGTCAGGTCTGATTTATGAAAGAATCGATTGTGGAACGCAGCATACTCCTAGTCAAGTTTCTTTCATAAAAATTTTTCGTTGGGGATGGACCTCCCATAATTGCCCCCCGCCTCTGTTTCCACCTCGCGCCCCCCATCGCCTTCCGACCTAGACCCGCCACTGAACCTAATTACATATTTGGAACTTAGAGTAAAAATGAACAAAACATGTCGCTTTTTCGCCATGGCGCCCCAGAAAGCATAAGGATTGCAGAGATCTTAGAGTAGGGAGCGTAGGTGTGGAGAAGGAGGCGGAGGAGCCAGTGAAAATATTAAGTCATTCTCCACTATTTTGCGCAGTTCCGCCTGTTTGCGGCCCTGCTGTTGTCAAGAAAATTCCTGGCTGACGTCCATGCTGTTGTTTGCGTGTTTTTCTGATTATATATATGTGATTGATAAATAAGGTAGATTTGGATGTTTTGGTGACAGCAACCAGAAATGTTGCGCTATCAACTGGTCCGTTTTGAGGTTTATGCCGGGTTTGTCCGCATGGACAACGCTACATTTTTTTTCTTTGATTTCGGAGCACTGCTAAGTTTATATTTCTATGTTGGCTCATATTCACCAAGAAGACCATGCAGCGATTCGATGCTTGTGATTGTACGCGTTTTATTCCGGCGCCAATTGTTCTCTTGGTGCAATCGTCGGACAATCTCTGCGATATGGCGGATGCATGATGACTCTATCGTTCCAAATTTAAAAAATAGAAACCGAAGTAAAGAGCTACCCAAAAATGTATCCAGATACCATTGATATAGTTAAGTTTTTCTGCCAACTGTGCCCAGCTGCCCATCGCGGATATAGGAATGCGATGCAAAGCGATGTAAGCCTTGTAAAAACTATAAGAAAAAAACGATGCTGAAAATCGTTATTCATGCATGGGTGTAACAGTACCGCATGAAAAGCTCGGCATTAGCCTATTTGCTCCTACTTGTGATAATATACTGGTGTATCAAATTTAAACAGACACTGGCAAGACCTTCTGAACATCGAAATGCACATCCAGGTGAAACTATAGACGGCTGCCTAGTTTATTAGG